CAGTACTGTATGTGTGATGGTATAAAAAGGCTTCCCATTCTTCAGAATCAAATTAATGTTTCGATTTGAATATCAGGTTGTACATACAAGTCCCCAATCACTTCTACTGCCCAGCAGAATCCTACACAGCAGAGCCTGACTGATACAGATACAGAACAGTGTCAGATTATTTCAAATCCTTGTATAACGCGTGTGCACGTTTAGCGCACGCCAGAGACTCATATGAATGTCAGAACTTTTCAAAGTAAAAGCTCTCAATAAACCTCTCATAAAGCATTGCTGCAAAAAACGTTCTCGCGCTTTTATTTCGGAGGCACAATCACTTGAGAGGAAGTAACTGTAGCTGTCATGACTGAGATCTATTTCAGCAACAGCCGCTATCAATTTATTTGTTTTTTATTTTTCTGCTATCAAAGCAATCTGGTCGCAGGTCAGGATATTAGTGCTGGTGGGCCGCGGGCCGCCTATTGCCAACCACTGCTTTAGAGAGACTTGCTATTATCTCTCAAGACCTTTTTTGCCGAGAATCATTAGACACTTTTTGTGGTGCTGGATATATGCAAATACAGTATCATGAGTTTCAGTGCTGAGACCAAAGCAACGCTTTTTAATAGCTTACTTTGACGAGTAGAAACATCAAACTTGTATGAACTAGCAGTTGTACAAGAACTTGCAAAAATAAAACACATAAAGTTGTTAGAAATTTAATTTTAACAAAAAGACGAGATAAAGAAGTAGAGATGACTAGATGTTAGATGCTAGCTTTGGTGGTTGACGGTTTTCAATAGCTAGTGCTACAGATACACGTAAGTCAGTCCCAGAAAGTACTGGTAAAGGTTCAGTAGCGCTACCTATAATACAATCAGGACTGAGCTTATTTTTCTCCTCCAGTACCAGACTCGGGCTCACCTGTATGAGAGCTTGGGCTTGTGGATGAAGCATGTTGCTGAGGACAAGCTCCAGGTCCACATGGAGAGTCTGGGGCTGCAGCAGTTCCAGGAGAGCCTTCGACCCCAGCGCCTGCCCCTGTGCCGCTCCCTGCTGCAGGGCCTCGCTCAGGCCATGACCCTTCCGAACCCCCCCAACAGCTGCTGGACCATCCTCCGTTCCACCACCGAGAAGATCTTCACCCTCCTGCCCAACCAAATCCAGGTACAAAGCTGAAAAGAAATCAACTGCTGCCACTGTTTACACACCAGCCAACGCTTCAATTCTGTACAGTGGGCTCACTTCAGCTGACAATCCAACTGCTTTAAGTGCTTGAACTGAACTGAACTGAACTGAACTGAACTGAACTGAACTGCAACTCCCACACAACCTCTCACATGCAGATATGTTAAGACAGATAATACTACATCAGCTGAGATGTCACTTAAGAATATCCTCCTGATTCCAGTAATCTTCTGTTGATTATAAATTCTTTTTGTTTTAGGATAATGAAGTGGATTTGTATGTGGGAATCGCCAAATGTCTGTCTGAGATGTCTGATACAGAGATTGAACGAATCGCTCGAGTCACAGAGGTACAGTATGATAAGTTCAAAATAGTATAAAAAAGATCAGTGTGCTGTGCCAACATTTGCTAAGGTAAATTGTGTAGTGGAATGTCTTAACTATAGAGTATATTTTAAATGCAATTTGGTTTCTTGGCATTTTTTTCAAGTTTTTTTTTTTATTACAATTTTGTTGTGTTTTTATATGCAAATGAGGTATTTCCTCACTAAATATGCGCTGATTTGTATATCCCTCAAATCCATTTTCCAGCACATCGATAAGAGTCAGATGGATGTTTTAGTTTTATTGTGGTACTATACCAAATGGCCAACAGTTTAACAACATAATTTTTTCATGGATTCATTCAAAATACACCACTCATATGTTTTCCACATATTTACAGAAAAATGCCACATAAAATGAGAATGATAAAATCAAAAAACCTTTGAACATGTCCTGCTGTAAGACCTAAGAAACAGTGTAAAACGATGATGCTCTGACTGCCTTGAAGGGCGAGGACAATGACTCAAATAAAACAAATTGGAAATGTAATTTTGAGAAAATAGCTGTCAAAGATTAGTTAACACAATAACACTCTTAGCAAAAAAATTTATGTTTGTCACATTAACACATCTCTTATAGATATTAAATATATGAACTGAAAGTTAAAAGTTGAACATATTGAAGCAGAATTTTGGACTGTGGTATCTGGCATGATTTGTTGTTTTTTGTAAACATAAACATAAATATTAAAATAACCTTTTGTGGTCGAGCCAGTTAGCCCACTCCATCTAGCTCGCTTAAAGCCACTAATTTGCTGGCATACATTTTTGTTAGTAGAAGAACGAGACAATCCAGGTGAAAACTGGTGCAGGTTAGAGGTTAGCAGAATGCATTGCTGTTTGTGCCAATGTTTTTTGATACTACCACAGGAAAGTCGAAAATATTCAAATTATACACATTGTGATGCTAAAAAGTTAAACAAAAACTCTGTTCTTGTGCTGTTTAGGATCAGATGGAGAAGACCTGCTTTGTCCTGGCTTACTTGACCTCCCAAGGCAGAGTTCCCCTCTTGGGTCTAAATGACGTCATTGCCGGTGTGCTTCGTGGTTGGCAAAGCCGCAACGTTGGCTGGCTCCTCCTGCAGACTTTTTACCAGTGTCGCCTGGCCACTAACTCCAATACAGGTTAGGCAAGAAATGGTCAGCTTCTGGAGCCAGAAGGCTTCACTTGCTGCGTCCAGAGAAAAAGTGGTGATGCATAGGGAAACTCTGTCAGGGTATAATTAAGAAGAACATACTATCCATCCAAGTTTTCAAAAGTTCAAAAATATTTGGCTTTTTCTGATGGGATCACTAGGTGGGACCAAAGTAGAGAATTTCAAATAAAATGATTTTAATGATGGATTTATTGGCGAAACAACATATACTTTGTTTCTTTGTATATATTTTTTTCTCTTCATGTGTTTCATAGTTTTACTATACGTGATTGTCCCCCTCTGGGTGAGCCTACATGTTGATCGGGTTTGTCCTTTGTTCTAGGCGTTTCGAAACGAATGGAGTGGCTCCTGGAGCTGATGGGACACATCCGAAATGTTGCCTACGGTGCAACCTCTGTCGCATGTGGAGACACCAAGCTGGTATGTTTCTGAGCTGTGCTGGAAAACTGCAGTGTGGTATTTCTAGAGCGGTCAGTGTGTCAGCATGTAGGTGAGAGTTAAGGTCTCTTTGGGAATACCTGTCATTCCTGAAATAGTTTGGAATGCAGCTATGGTCGTGTTGGGTGTGTCCAGTAAAATAAATTAAATGTTCAGCTTTTACACTTTAATCTGTTGTATTTAAAAGTAAAGTACATAATCATATTACAGCAGTGTAATCTTTTGATTAAGGACAATTGCGTTTTTCTAACTTATTATTGTGATTTTGAGCATCATTTCTATCACTTGCGAAAATTGCTGAGAAGTGGGAACACGGTGACGTCCCTGCACTAAAGTCTAATGGTGCAAGAAACACTAGCAGTCAGACCGGCTGTAAATGTTATTACCTACATGAGCGATCACAGTACTATAAAAATAAGACCCAAGTAGTAATATACCTGAATTAACATCGTAGGTCCATCTTAACAAGCAGTTGTTTATGGTTTATTTTAAATTCTGGTGAAGATCCAAGAGTTTCCAAGGCTGCATTTGGTGGATTGGAGCATTTTGAACATTAGCATTCCCCATGTTATTACTGAATTGTGTAATATTAGTGGCAACAGATGGCTTCAATCCCATATTGTAAGCAGTATATATATTACATATTATTGTGATGTATACTGTATATATAGTACAGCTACAACAATTAATAGAATAATCGATAAGTTGTCAACGGTTAAGTTAATGGACTACTATTTTGATAATCGATTAATCGGTTTAAGTCCAGCTACTTAAAGGTTCAATATGTAACATTTAGTGGCATCTAGTGGTGGGGGTTGTGAATTGCAGCCATCTGTCCAGTCTACCACTGCCCCCTAACCTTTCAAAGAGCATCGGACAGCTACGGTGGCTGACACAGCACAAAAGGTGTCTGACTAAATGCTGATGAACCATCATGCAGCTCTCTTTTACAAGGTGCACACGTGCAGCGAGCTGCCTTAATGACAAGGGGTAATGATTCTCAATGTGTCAGAACAGCCAGTGAGGTTCATTCATTTCAACACAGTGTAACATCACACAAGTCTGACTTTACTGTTACACTATGTTTGACCATGTAACGGATTTTATAAGTTAAACCAAACACAGCCTCCACCACCAGGTAATCTTTGTTGCTTCCTGCTTGTGATCCCCTTCCATGTCTGCAAAATTCCTGATAACTGAGTAATTATTTTAATTTCCTTTTATTTGTCTGCAGGCCACAGACTTCCTGTTCCAGGTTTTTGCTGCTGCTGTAGTTTCCTGGGGTGACCACTTCATGCCCCTCCTCCTTGGCATAAGGGCCCAGTGGTTCCCATGGCAACCCGGCTCCAAGCCCCAAATTCTACAACACAGTCTGTATGGCGAGGAGTCATTCACTGTCCACGCCCTGCCGCAGTGCCTGCTGGGAATGTCGCACAGCCTGACTCTGCTTCTGGACAAAGAGCCCTGGAGCAGCCAGACACACAAGGTTAGTGTGTTTGATTTGTGGTTGATGTAGTTTAATTTAAGAAAAACAATGTTGTTTATTTTGTTAGAGCCAAACCAGATGGTGACTGTGTGTGTGTGTGTGTGTGTGTGTGTGTGTCTCAGTTCATAGACTGGCTTCTCAGTATCACAGAATGTCCTGAACAGAGTCTGTCAGCCATGACCATCAGCACAGCCAAAGGTAACAAAACGCACATACAATACACAGGATGTTTTGGCATTTTTAACTTTAGCGCAGAGAAAATGACTTTCAGACATTATTTACCACAACCAGCTACCTAATAACACTGGCAACATATTTCCTACCTCATCTGCCGTCACCTCAATAAATCCACTGGACCACTCGGTAAAAAGTGTATCTGTTTATTTAGATACAGCAAAACTTCTGTACGTGAAGATTACAGTAAAATGAGTTGATAAAATAATGAGAGAAAAAGAGGAAGAGAGAGAGACAGGTCAAAAAAACTGTCCTCTGAGGTAACTCAGGAAATTTAAGGTGCATGCATTTCATAGGAAAAGACAATCACAGGCGTCTATTCCCCAAATATTACCAATGTAATATAAATGAATTATCCTCAACAAACGTATTGCATAACTGTAAATATAAACTGTAAATACATCAACCTAAATAAATATTCCTTCAAATTCCTTCTATATATGAACTTAAATTATTGCATGTTAATTAATAAAATTTCTATTTATCAATAAACTGCATTTAGGCTCCTACAATGACACGTATTATTGAAATTAATACAGACAAATGTGATTTACTTTTAGTTGATGGTTTACCATTTACAATTCATGAAGTCAGGGGAGATGGATCTGCCCCGACTTTACAAGGATGAACTCCAACTTTAAGTAGCATTCAGTTGTACTTTTTCTAGTAGGCAGTGTACCCATGGATGACAACTTGCACTTGACTTGAGATTCTCAGGCAAGTGCTGAAGTTAGGAGTGTCTCTTTTTCTATGATTTGTAAGCAGATGTACAGATAAATCACAATGAACCGCTGGTATAATGATACCCTCTGAAAGTGTAATGAACAATGAATCTAAAAATGTGTGTACCATGTTTGTGTGTTCGGATTTAAGAGAGTTGAACTCATAGAAGAACGTTGGCACCAACTGCAGCAATAGTGCACAGTCAAGTGTTTTAATCCCCTCCAGGAGATGCAACAGCTAACCGTGTTGTTGAGCAGGTTAGATCAGCGGCTAATAACAGTAATTAACACCAGCACGCACCACCCTCCCCTCCCCTCCCCCAGTAGTGACATGCCATTCATGCTTACAGTGTTTCAGCCACAAATGTCTAATTCAAAATACGTGAAATTGACTTAAACTATTAACTGCTAGTACTTACTTCAACGCAGAACTATCTTAATAAAGGGTTAATAAACTTGCTTTACCATACTGTGCTGCCAATCAGCTCTATCGCCAATGTACCCCAGTGGCCAACTGTGGTACTACACCTTAAATAAAACCATTAGAAAAGAGACGCAAGTAAAGGTGTTGACAGGACACCTCCACCATCACTGCACACAAGGTCAATTATTAAACCATGACATTTTTTTATTTGCAAAACCGTCTAACTATTTCAATGTGTGTGTCATCTCGAAGTTCAATCTTGGCAGAGTTGGCGGACAGTAATTTGCATGTGTAGTGGGACACATAACTCAGAAGCAGACAAGGAAGAGATGCAACTTTTTTGCTGGGTGTGCAGCTTCCATTGAAACCAGAGGACAAGTATCCAGGTCTCATAAGACATCCATGATATAGACCATGCAGGTTTCAAAAGAAACCAAAATTGGTTAAGAGGGAGGGGAAGAGGGGGAGGAGACGCTGATGTCTGCATTGTTTAAACATAACAGTATGGACAGAAACATCAGTAGCAGTAGCTAGCAGAAACCTACACGGGTGAAACCTGAAACACACAGCCTTCTCTTACCACACAGTCTTTCCTCTTACATTTATATCTCACATTCACAAGAGCAAACAACTTTCTTGGCAGAATAAAAGCTCTTTGTTTAATTACAAACTGGATAAACTGGAGTGGTTTATCTGATCGTCCTTGCGTGTCTTTCCAGCTGCCCTGTTGGCCCTGAAGTCCTCCTCTGAGTTCAAGAAGAAGGCTGTGTGGACAAGGGCGTACGGCTGGTAGCCAGGGGAGCAAACAGACCGTTACTATGGCAACGGCTACAGACGGTCTTCGCAAAAACACGGCTGGAGCTTTAACACACTCAACCTGTCTCTGTTGGACACCAGGCTCTGAACATGTGGAAACGGCTACTGCAGCACCATGGACATTTACATTTATGAACTTTAACTGAAACTGCACTGCCATTGTTCTGCCATCAGCTTCAACCGCATATGAGAAGGACAACTTCAAGAGGAATGTGCTCTGTCAAAACAGTAAATGCCCCATTAAAGGTTCTTTAAATACAGTAAATTTGATTTTGTGGTTCTTGAGTTCAAGATCTCTTAAATATATAGATTTGAATGATGATACATCTTGATGATTATCAAACTCACTGAATTAAAAAAGTAAGATTTAAAAAATTGTACTTCAGAGGAGGTTGCTGAAAGACTTAAACCATCCAAGCATTCAGACTTTTGACTTCAGGGGTCACTCCCTTTTCATCTTCTTGTTCCATTTCTCCAGCTGCTGTTGTCTCTCCTTCAGCAGTTGCCAGACCGTTACGGAGGCCCCTAAAAAGACAACACCGGTGTTACAATGTCAAGAAACGAAATACAAACAAACTAAACTGTGAGTGCACAGTGTGTCTGTACTAATTTTATATTTATGGCACAAATCTAACCGATGCAAACATGGTCGTTACAAATTTGGCTTTGTGGAGACATTGTCCAAATGCTGCAAAAACGAATACCTGCTATGAGTGTAAAACAGCGTACCAAGTAAAACTAAATAGTGTGAAGGTAGTAAATAGGTACTGGTAGTAAATAGATGATAGTAAACTGTCTGCAGTTTCTTTGGTTGGAGTTGCTACATGTTGAAGCATGATGAGCCGCAACTGAATTACAGTGTAAACAACAGATTTCTGGCTTTGTTAGGCCGTGATCTTTTACACTCTTGGGTTTCTGTAGCTTGCTTGCTCATCTTACCTAGAGCAAGAACAGGCAGGTAGACCATCAGGAGGAAGGGGAGGTGAATGTGTGTTGACGCTGTTGAATTCAATGAGTTTGGTGCTGCTGACTCAACATAAGGCAGGGCCTGGTATATAGTGACACCTGAGGAAGACAAAGAAACACTCATGCCACAGTAGAAATGGAAATGTTTTAATACTTTACATTTAATGTTCTTTAGGGCCTTGTTGAGAACCCGTCTGAGGGATTCTTAAAATCAATATAAATTATTCTGCTGCAGTCCAGTAACATTGCATCTGGTGTTTTGAAAGGGCACACACTTCGCCAGTTGGAGTAGTTACTGATATACTAGAGCTTCACAGCTGTCTGTACTGTGTTTGCTGGCAGCCAACATGTGTTCTGTCGTACGCACACAGCAGAGGCTGGAATGTACTTTCCTCTAACACTTCCTGACATTTTATCATCGTCTCTGCTTTGTTAACTAATTTCCTGTATGTGCACACTACTTCCCTTATGCAATACCAGGCTTACATTCTAGCAACTCATTGTTCAGTGAGGTCAGCAACACTATACTGTGACTGCCCATTTATAATCCTAAATATCATAAATGAGTGAGTCGGTCTGAAGCAGGCCTAGCTAATTGGACTAAAACTATCAATTTCACAATCTGATAGTAAAAACAAAGTTGATTTAAAAATGAATTAGTCACCTTCAGTGGCCACTGACAGGATGTACAAGGGGATCAAGAGTGTGTAGCGAGTCCACAACATGGTGATAGAGGGTGTACCCATAACACACAGTAGCTCGTATGGGTACCTGTCATCAAACAGTACACATCAGAAAGGTTAACTCAGGACCATTTTTTTATAACATGTGTTTTTTTTTGAGAGAATGCAGAGCAAATAAAACCTCTGGTTCTTCCCTTTCCCTCTTTTTAAATAACTCTACTCCATTGCCCACCCTGGTTCCTCCTTCTAGGTACCAACAGTAAGTGCGTAGAAAATAACACCTATATCTAACTCTGTAATATTACAGGACTATATACATTTACTATACACACCGTATTTACATTCACACATGGAGACACCCCTACATGTAATTTAAATGTAAGTGAGAAGAAGGGGGGGAAAAAACGAAATAGGTATCTACCTATTTATTAACTGAGCGTGGAGTGGATATAGACACTGAAATGGAGACAGGTGGGGCTAGAGGCCCTCGCTTGCCCATTAGATAGCATAGTAGAGATACTTACAGTAGTTCAAGTGCAAGAAATCCAAAGGACCATTACACTTGGCAGCTCTCTCTGTATGTTGTAGAAAGACTATTCCCAAACACTTGTTTCACTGTAATCTATGATACTTCTGCAACTCTCTCTGTACCTGACAATTTGTGTCCATTCAACCTGACTTGAACAGCTGGTTAGTTCAGAATTTTGCAGCCAGACTCTTTACAAGCGCCAAGAGGACACTGCTTGAACCCCAATTTTAGCATGTTGGCTGCAGTAATCTTTGCTATTTTTATATTATCAATGGATTAAATGATGTGTGTCATGTCCAGGAAGTGTCTTGTAGTGACGATCTTACAGATAATGATGATTTCTTCATATAGATCTGCAGTTCCCTCAGCTCTACAGGGCTTTTGTAAGGAATTGTTCTTTACAAACTGGTAACTCAGTGTAAGTCTAAAGGCCTTTTAGCAGACCCAAGAGCCATTGCTAGGCTACCGACCTAGCAAAATGGACAACAACCCAGGGGCCCAAAAGCCCCAGGCACTTTGCTGTTAGTAATGTGATTAATTGTAAATGTGTTAAGTAATTTGCACTGCTACTGTGCAAAATCAAGAAATGAGCAGGGGTTAAAAATGGTAGTTTCTGCGTTCATTACTGTATTTCAATTTACATTGTGTTTATTTGAGGGATGTTCCAGAATAATTTTGTGTGGGTGGGGCTCCGAAGCCCCCTAACAGGTTCATCCGGCCATGCCTAGAGGCTACAACATGGATGATTTTGTCATTGTTGGTATGAGGAGGGTACAAGAAAATACCGTGGCGAGTCCATCTAAGGACTGTGAATATTTACAGCAAACATCACTGAGAATTGTCTAATTGACATCTTATTTTGAACAGATTAATAAGACACCCTAACTGACTTCCATCATTGGGCACTGTTGTTAGTGGGGCAAAAACAAACTATATTTTGGTGAAGAGAAAAGTAAGTGATATGGATACCGTAGGAGGTCCTGAATGTTCCACAAGAACAGTTGTACACACACGACTGGTTTACTCTGGATCTCCTCCAGAATGATGACCATGGTCAGCAGGAGGTTCTTCTCCATAACCTGAAAAACAGGTAGCATGCACCAACTAATCCACCAGCAGTTTCAAAAGGATAAAGAACTCTTTATGATGTATTTTAGCATTTTTTTATCATCCGCATGATTCATAAGGAAATTGCATCAAGAGGCGGAGCTGTGATACACACTTGGACGAAACGAGGCAGGAGTCTGGCTTTCTCAATTTCGTCTGCGATGTGGAAAAGTTCCAGGATGGAGAGCAGCTGACACAGACTCATCACAAAGCCAACAGCGTAAAATGTGTCTGCTACGGCATCTGCGAAGAGAAATATCGCATTCCATCATTCTATGCCACTCTCCTGACTTAAAACCAATGATGATTTAGAGAGCTGGTCTTTCATACTGAGCTCAAAACCATCTTGTGACCTGGTGCAGCCAGAACAGTCTGGAGCTCAACACTCTGAAGACAGTGGAGATGGTTGTGGACTTCAGAAAGAGCCCAGCCCCACCCTCCCCATCATCCTGTGTGACTCCCCCGTCACCACTGTGGACTCCTTCCGCCACCATCATCTCCCAGGACCTCAAGTGGGATCTGAACATCACCTCCCTCACCAAAAAGGCCCAGCAGAGGATGTACTTCCTGCGGCAGCTGAAGAAGTTCAGCCTGCCAAAGACAGTGATGGTGCACTTCTACACCGCCATCATTGAGTCCATCCTCACCTCCTCCATCACCATCTGGTACGCTGCTGCCACTGCCAGGGACAAGGGCAGGCTGCACTCCTAGAGGACTCTGAGGCGAGCAGGAAAGATTGCAGCTGACTCCTCCCACCCCGGACACAAACTGTTTCAGACTCTCCCCTCTGGCAGGGGGCTGCGGTCCATTAGGACCAAAACCTCTCGCCACAAAAACAGTTTCTTCCCGTCTGCAGCTAGTCTCATCAACAAGGCCCGGGTCCCCCACTGACACTCCCCCCTTGCAAATGATACAAATGTCTCTGCACATGTAAATACTGTTTCATTTCATACACAAACCTGGCATATTACACATAGTTGTTAATCATTGTTGTTCTATATTTTTATATTGTCAATTTATATATTTATGTTCACAATACTCTCTTCCGTTGCAGTACGTCTGCACAACACAAACCAGAATGATGCACATGTAAATATCTGCCACGTTGTTCTTTCTCGGCAAATAGTTATATTATTATATTATTATTTTTTATTATTCTTATATAACTTGCATTGTTTATTCCATGTTTATATATTTCTAGATGTATTTATGTTAACTGTATGTTTGTCATGTGTAGCACCTTATCACCAAAGCAAATTCCTCATATTTGTAAAGCACTACCTGGCAATAAAGCTCCTTATCATTCTGATTCTGATTCTGAAACGATGTTTTGCTTTGATATAACTCACCTTGACCAAATGTGAGAAACCTGGCTATGGTGTTAGCCAGTATCCATGTGTGTCCACAGAACTGGAACAGGTTATATGAGAAAATGTAGACAAGCCTGAAGCTGAGCCTGTAAGAGGAAAAAAGGGCACAGACCAGATTATTTAAATTGGCATTTGTTTTTTTGTTAAATCAAGGCCTCACATTCTGGACATCTTCCCTTGCACATGTGTAAACAGTTCATAACACCTGCTTTCTGGCACATCTAACTGGCACAGTAAATGGAACAGAGCCATCGTTAATGTCATTAGTTACACCTGTGCTGGTCAAAATGTCAGACGGATCTGTTTACTGTAGAACTGCAAACGCTGATGTACTTTGATTATAATATTCTCATAAATCATGTAACTGGAATTTTGAGTAAATTAAATTACATGGAAACACAGATGAAGAGTATATTTGCTCAAGTCCTGTAATTAAGTATAACTTTATTTACCATTTGTTAGACTTTTTACTTTTAGTACTAGAAAGTACTGTACTTTTTCAGTTCACTACATTTATCGTATAGCTAAAGTTAGCTAGTCTGAAGGTAACACCACCACACACATCACATTAACGTGCTGCTTACACATTAACAACTATTCAACACCCTGAGTCTGAATATATTTCTTTTTCACAATAGTCCAGAAATACATATTCACTTTCTTGCTGATAGTTAGATGTGTAAGTGAGAACCACACTCACATTGTGTTTATTTATACAGAGCTGGAGCCAGGAGCTGATTAGCTTAACTTAATGTAGCATAAATGGAAGGCTAACGTTAGCTTTCCAATCAAGAAATAATTGCAGTAAAAGAATACAGTACAGAGGTGACCAGGCTCCAACAAGGACTGAATATTTTCACATCTAACTCTGTGAATTAAGGGTTTAATTTGATCAAACCACAGTTGGTGGTTGTTGGAACAGTGGAAAGACTAGCCACGCTGGTTTTGGTGAGTTTTATTTTGTTTCTGTCGAGTTTCAATGGAGTGCCTTATACAATGACTTAACAAGGCAATTTGTGAAAGAAAGAAACTTGTATTCAGAAAGTGCAGAGGTGTATTTTGTTTATTCACAAAAAAGCCTTTGTAACATAGCTTACTTGTCGCTTGCACACAGATCTCCCAGCTGAAACTACAGGGGGAGGCCTGAGCTATCGGACTTTCGCCTCTGGAAGTACAGTGGTGTCATCAGACAGGACGACATAGGGCTAGCTGGTTAGCATGCTAACTTCAGTAGATATTTCTGTCTTTGACATGACGTCAGAACTGTTCTGATGTTCTACACATTCTGTTCATAATGTTGATGATATAAAATAATTTTTATGTTTAAACAAAAAAATTTGGCAATGTTTGACATTGTACATTTAAGTCACCTATAAAACCACCTCAGAGAACTCTAGTACTCACTCAAGCTCCATGAAACCCTCATTAGGACTGTTAAACCCTTCAAACCCCCTCATACCCTATGGTGGAAAGTGACATAAAACTGAAATTTCAAATTATAAATCTGGCTGCTAAATGCTCCTCTTAGTTCACCAGCCAGTCGCTAACTGTTTCTGTCTGCTGTCTGGTGCTGGTGGTGTGCAGTGTGTTTATTCAAGCCTTTTTTTTTTCAAAATAATTTAAATGAGACCAGTGAGACTGAACCAAAACCAAAACAATGAACTGAATGAAAATGAATGAAAAGAGGCTAAAAAGGCGTGTAGAACTCAGGGAAACTGCAGAGTTGGTGATAATTCTCAGTGGGTTTGTCTGAGTGACAATTTACACATTACACATGTAATTTGATCCATTGTTTATGCACACCTTATTTGACCATTTATAAAATGTACTTTGATTACTAACATTCCTGTATTTGAAATTTGACTTCAAGATATATTGGTAAAAAGTCAATCACAACACCACCGTGTTACACACCATATAAATGTAACATAAAGCTTCTTCATAAAATACTGTAGCTTTGAAATAAAGTCGTGCCTCTAAACCGGCCTGCTAAAAAAACAGTCCGGTCTGTTACCCTGGGTAGTTTTAAAACTCAGTGCATATGTTTTATGAGCTCATCTTGGAATTAAAACCTGCAAAATAAGTGCTAATCTGTCAGATATATTTGAAAACTAAGCCTTCTTTACAGCAGTTTAGCTGTAAATGCTTGGAAAGATGACAGTAAGTCGAGCTTTGTTTATCATTAGCGTGGCATTCCTCAACACGCCCGGTTTCTTCCACAGCAAGAAGCTGATCAGACAACGCTGTGAAACTCTCAGAGTACTCACTCACATTCTCCTCTCCTCTCAGTCTTCTTTAGGTCTTTTTGTTGCAGGAAAAAGGAGCTGCTCATAATCCCTGTGTGAGTTTGAGAAGAATAGTTTTTCCATGTGCAGTTCCTTGCTGCAGTTAGTTTTCTCTCAGTAAACAGAGACCCGCCTCTTACTTCATACTCCCTCAACAGCAAGCAGACAATGCTGCAATATCTGGGGTTTGCAGCTTCCTCAGGTTGATTGTCCCACTTATTACTTTACAGCAAGTAGGAAGTGGAAGTGGGGGAGTCGGACGTCACGACAGAAGGAGCAGAGGGAAACAATGAGCCGTGCAGAGCACACGGCACATATGTAGAATGCTTGGATTAGCAGCAGGAAGGAGTAAGAGCAGAATACCTTTACCAACACCACCGCCAAAAATATGCACCTCTCAAAACCTCAAAGTGAGGGAAAGTGTAAATTCTTGACATACCACTGTTGTATTTCTGTTACTGACACAGAAATATTTACATCGACAATGAAACATATCAGTGGCTAACTTAACTGTAACACAACAACACACATAACATGCAAGATATAAACACATCACACAACTTAACAGGTTTAAAATGTATTTTCCAATGTGAACATGTGCAGCCAAATGAATCTGTTTAAATGATAAGGATAAAGATATTCTATGATATATCACAAATCCCATGAAAAGACAAAAACCAACAGTTACTTAGTCCGTCTCTCAGTACTTTTTTGACTTCTCCACCCTGTCTGTGGTTTTCAGCTCCACTGGTTTCCACTGAAGACATAAATCTTGAATAACAAAACGTTACTCAAACAGGAGGACATATTGCATCTGTTGGCAGCAGGATGGTGTATGTGGGACTGAGTCCAAATAAACACAGTGTGTGTGTTCGTGGTGATGAAGGAGCATGTCATCCAGTGCAACAGTGTGCCTCACTGATGTGTTTAATGTTTTTTTGACAACAATGGAGCTCTGTGGCACAGAGAATGGTGATTAGCAGACATGGATTTGTTGGAATTTGTTGACAAGTAGAATTATATACTATAATAATCTCTCTCGCTCTCTCTCTCTCTTTGGCCCCCTGGTGACTTAATGTATGTAACATGCTATGTGTGTGCATTTACCCAGATTACTGTCCATTAGTGTTGTAACTGTCATTAATTATAATGTATCACATTCCAAAGTATATAAATTGTACTTTTGTGGTTGTAATTTCTTGTTATGGTAAAAAAAAACAAAAAACAATAAGAGATGAAGCTTTTTAACATTCCTGTATCCACTCTTTCATGGACTGTCAAGCACATAATCCCTGGTGCTGCTGTCAATCAAATAGTATGCACTGCTCTCTAGTGGTGGAAAAAATAAATTCATCTTGGAGATTTATCAGATTTAATCCTAATTCATTTAAACAGCTCAAGGCAGAAACAGACCAATTTTAATTACACAGAGCTTTCAGTGGAGGTCATAAAGAGTTTTTTATCAGGTGGTGGAGCCCTTCCTGCAGCAACTTGTCTCTGTGTGTGTGTTCTGTGTTAACTGCAGAAGAATATACAATAACCTTTACAGAACAATAGTTCAGAACACAATACGCACACCCACATGTGTAATCTGTGCTATCCCTCAGTGTGGGCAGCAGAAAGTTTAGCAGGGACAAAGGGCATGGATGCTCAGGACAGAGAGGAGGGATATTATATGTCTGCTCTGGCTAAGTAGCTGAAAACTGACCTTTCAGGTGATACTTCAATTAAGATAATAAATATGAAAAAAATACAGTTAATGTGTATAATTGTCCCTTATCAACTCACTTGGTTATGCTGATTTGTTAAGTATAAAGCGTTGGGACTTGGTTAGCCTAGCTTAGCATAAATACAGGAAGCAGGGGGAAACAGCTAGCCTGGCTCAATCCGAAGTTCAAATATACACCTACCATCACTGTTAAAGCACTTGTTGTTTCTTGTTTGTTTAAAACACACACACACACTAAAAAGAAAAAAAGGGTTAGGTTATGTGCCGGAACTATTTCTCGATGAGCAAGCACTTCTGTGCAGCATCTCTGGCTATATGTTTGTTGCCTCTCTGTGGTGACTCCAGGAAATATTTCAAGTATTTAAAAGCACAAGCTGAGATCGGTTAAGTAAGCACCTTTTCATTTAGCTCACTAAGACCCTTAAAGGTTTTTAAGGAGCCAGTCAAAAGCAACATTAAATGTAAACGGATATGTTCTCTCATGTTCACTCAGTCACCTCTCTAAGATTTTGACACCCTCACTAAATGCATTGGAGCTCCTCGGTAATGAAATCTTGCATCAACACATTCTGTGCTCGGGCGGCAGAGGACTGCAGATCATTCCAGCATGAGAGAAAGGCAAATGGACAGGTTTCTAGACCATGACAGGGCTTACACAGATGGACATTCCTAATTACACTTACTGTCAGTTAAGTAAAGTCAAGTTTAAAGAAGAGCACATGATCGATATGAACACATCAAACCTTTTATTATCTCTGCCCCCTCTCTGTGCTGATGACAGGCCAGTGACAGATGGAAAACAGTCTGGTTCTAAGGTCTCAGGACCTTGGCTAGGTGTTAGCACTATCATATCCTCTCTGAAATTACAGCTCATTTCTGTATGTGCTACACTCAAGAACCCCGCACTAGACTGCATGTTATATGTTGACCTTTCTGCCACTGCTGTGGAGTCAGTGATCTGCTTCTGGTATTAGTCCATGATAGCAAGTTGGAGTCTTTGGTTTTGTTAGTTTGAGGCTGAAAGAATAGTAAATGCTCTCTACTTGTGTAGTGACTTTTTTAGTCTTTCCGACCACTCAAAGCACTTTTACACCACATAACAGTCACCCCATTCACACATTCATACACTGATTAGAAACAGAAGTGAACACATTCATACACTGATTAGAAACAGAAGTGAACACATTCATACACATGGACAAAGATCCACAGTTTCCTTGGGACACAGCTTGAAAACTTGAAAAGCAAAGAGCAGGAAAAAATTTAGTTGGTAGCTGTCGGCTTTTGTCTAGCTTGAATTCGGATATCACATAGGCTAATTAGCTCACCGAGATAACTTGGGTTGGCTGCATGACACTTTTAGTTAATAGCAAGAGTAAATACTTAATAAAATCAGCTTGCTTTTTTTTACTGAGCTTTTGTCTTTTTACTTTACTGAGAGAAATAAAAAGGATAAATCTTGTTTTCCAGAAATTATCTGAAGAATCAACAGTAATTATTAATTAAAGCAAGAAATTCCCCGTGCACAGTAACAACAGTCAGGTGCTGGTAGATACAGGATCTCACAAAAGTGAGTACACCCCTCACATTTTTGAAGAAATGACTTTGCTACAATGTAAAATAGTGAGTGTGCAGCTTGTATAACAATAATAGCAAATTTGCTGTCCCTTCAAAATAAATCGTCACAGAGCCATTAATGTCTAAACCGCTGGCAGCAAAAGTGAGGACACCCCTAAGTGAAAATGTCTCACTTTGTGAGATATTATAGCAGGACAAGGTTGAGGTCAAAAGTTCAACTTTTGACTTCAACCTGGTCCTGAAATCATTCACACAAACACAACAATTTTTGAAGGTTTTAAGTCTCCTCTATGTATCTTGCTCAGTGGTCTGACATTTTTGCTTTCAATTGGCAGTGGTGGAAATGGGGGGAATGCACAGGAACGCTGTTACAGTAGTAAAATTTGGGAGGTTTGACACTGTTTCTAAAGCGTGTTCATCAAACAGATATATTTTTTGTGCTTGAACACACCACAAATCCAGATAGTCTCCATACAGCCAGTGGGAAGGCGTGACATTGCAGGTTCTCTGGAACTGGTCCCCAAAGCATTTCTGTGTTGGCGTTGTTACCGGCTACAGGTGTGCTGGAAGCTGCAGTGATGTGGACAGGTACGTGTCCTGCGTCTCTGATGCATGAAAATCTGAAATCTGAAAGGACGCAGTGAACCACTATCGACACGCCCTATTTTTCTTGTGATTTGTAGTCACACACACACACATCTTTGAGATATCTAGTCTAGTTAATGTAATGTTAAGCTTGATTGTTTGGACAGTTCATGTGTTTATTGTTGCTGAGGAGAGGAGACAAATCAAAGTACAGAACATCTCTGGCAAAAACTCACTGCCTAAAAGCATCTATACTTTTTCAGACTATAGTAAGCTCCTTTCAGAGCCATTATACAACATTATACAACTACTGTAACAGGTGGAGTTATACTCCTCGTGATCAGTAAACTGGTTTTCATGTCTTTAATCATGACTCCTTAATGAAAGTGTCTGAATTCACCTATTTTAGCTGCTAAAGAAGATGTCTGCTGTCCTGTAAGACACAGATAGTTTTTACTAGTTATTTCATGACATAGAGGTCAAATGTATATTATCTAAGTGTTAATGGTATGCATTTATTTCTGTTTGCTGCCATGCAGATATACTGTGGTAGACTGTGACAAGGACTGTACTAATAGCAGTTGTGGTAGGAAAGGAGGGGTGCACTCTCCTCGTTAACCACTTATGTAGCCTGCTTAATCCTTTCTGACTAATGGCCCGACATGATTGAGCGCCTGCTGTATTAATGTGGACTCCAGAAGTAACTGTATCTCAAGACCTGCAGTCACCAGGCCGTCTCACTAAAATAGTCCGCTAAATATATCCTGTTGTGCGGCTGGGTTTACAGTAATTTAGCTCCAGTCCACGTTTGGAGCAACAACTGAGGTTCCCATACTGTTTGGACCAGCAGACTGTTGGAATTTCACCAAACCTGTGACCTAAAGACTTGTCTAGGAGGGTAAATCTGGACATGGATTAGTTTGGAAAACCTCCTGTACAAGACCTCTTTACAGAAGTCTTTTATTTAAGCTGGACTGAGGCAACATCCACAGGGCAGCTGAGGGTCCCATTTCTGGTTTCATTCCCTCACATGTGACACAGATCTGAGGTTTTTTTTCAGTTTGAACAGGAAGAATCTGCTTTAATCAAGTTTTTGTCTTTTACCACGTGGACTATATGGATATATGATGCAAAACTGGAATGCAACCTATATGTGTCTTGGTTTGAGTGCAAAAACTGGAAGGCTATGTTTACTCTGCAAACATTAACATGCATAATTTTTTCTCATAGATGTTCATGTTATGTATTAACTATGGCAGGGCTGGATTAACCTGCTTGGAGGCCCAGGGGCAAAATGTTGCTAGCCCCTATTAAACCCCCTTTAAACCCCTTCAGTGTGTACCGTCTATATCATG